GAGCTTACTTCCTTATATAGAATAAAATATCTATATTTTATAAGTCTATTAATAACTACTAGAATACTATTATATTCTATCTTAATTATAAGTTCTTTTAATAATAATAGTTTAATAATATAATTAAAGGATACTGATTACTAGGGTTATTCTAATACTAAGATTAGTTTAAGTTCTCTATAGGGTTTATATTATACAGACTTAATTCTTATATAAGTATTATATTCTGAAACTATAGTCTGTATATCCTTTTATAGATCTGGGTAGTTATAGTATTATCTGATCCTTTTAAATATTTTCTTAACTTCTTAGTATTCTAAGAGCAGGTACTTATAGATTTCTTTAATAAGTACTATTCTAGTATCCTACTATAGCTTTCCTAAACTAGAAATAGTCTTTATCTGGACTTTAGTATATACTATTTCCTTAAGTATAGCTCCTAGGGTTTTCTATACTAAGTATCCTTTATTATTAGTTAAGAATAGCTATCTATTTATCTTTAGAACTACTTTTTTATATTTAGGCTTTCAGCTAAGAGTATTAGCTCTTCTATTTTCTAATCCTTTTTAATATATAATTTTATAATTAAATTAAGATAGATATTTAGTATAATATATTTATCTTCTATTTAGTTATTAGATTATAGTAAAATACTAAATATTTTTATAGTCTATATATACTCTAATCTTATATATTATTCCTAAGTAGTAGTATTTAAATTCTTTAAATATATATATAATAGCTATAAATTCTTTATTATAGATAGAATAATTAAGTTCTATACTATATAGTTTTTTTAAAAAGAATACTATAGGGTATAGTACTCTATTATTATCCCTTTAGCTAATTTATATACTAATTATAAAGTCTGAGGTATCTATTTTAAGTTCTACTTTCTTTATTAGATTAAATATCTATAATATAGGTTCTAAGAGTATTTAGTTTTTTATTTTATTAAGTACTTATTACTATTTATTATTCTATTAGAATTCTATCCTCTTTTTA